AAATCCACCCTCAAAAATAAAGACCTAGAGGAACCAAGCGTACCCCATAATTTCATCCACTCCAGCGCACCCAGTCACCCATTCTCTTGCCTTAGCCCCCTGGGGCTTTATCAGGGCATCTCTGAAGATGCCACACAGGAGCCTCTCACCTGATGTCCAAACTGGTTGCAAGGAAAGCCGAGTACCACCAGGCGCCTGGGGAAGCGGCATTGCAGCTCGTTGAGCTGGGTGAAGTCCCGGCTGGTGGTGCCTCAGAGAGAGGCCACGTTCTCAATTAGCACCGCCCTGCCTCGGAACGTGTTGAAATCTACCTTCTCCCCGTCCAGGCTGATGGCGGTCAGGTCGTAGAAGGACTTGGCGATGTAGGCCATGGTGAGGCGCGAAGTGAGCCCTGGAGTGCGGCAGGGGGCAGGGAGCGGGGTCACGGGGAGCCCTCTTCAGGGTCTGTCCCAGGGGCTGGAGGAAGGAAGCGTCAGGAAGGAGCAGAGAACGGTCCTTGAGACAAGTTGCCTGGATGACTTAACAAAAAAACAGGCACCCACCTGTAAGCGCGGGGGGAACCTGGAACCAGGAGGGCGTGCTTGCTATTTATAGGCGGATCAAGGATGCTGCCCGCCCCACCCCGCCCCGCCCTGTTGGCGCCCTGGCCTGATACCTGTATGCAGATGTGAATAATTCACTACCCACTTGCAGGAAACCCGAGCCCTAAAGGTCAAACGGGGGAGGAAAACAGTGGAAGGTAGCAACAGGATTGACTCCCACTTGCCCCAGCAAGTCATTTTTCCACTTGGCAACAGACCTGCAGGGAACCCGTTTGCACAGTGCCAATCTGTGAGTGGCACGGTGAGCCAGCGGAGTCTGCTGCGTTCTGAAGGATGAGGGAGAGAATGGGAGTTCCTGTACCCCTGTCTCAGAGGTCAGCCGAGAGGGAGGCGCTGCTGCCCAACTGCCCACCAGCACAGAGAGCCACCTGCAGGAAGCCACCGCCACAATGCCCTCATCCCAAGTGAGGACCTCATCTCTCATCTGTTCCACTTCTGATTCAGCTCTCTGCTGAGTGGCCTGGGAAAGCAGTGGAAGAAAGTGCTTGGGCCCTTACAACCAGAGTCCTGGTGTTGCCTTGGCTCAGCCCTGGCCATAGCAGCTTTCTGGAGAATGAATTGGAAAATAGATCTCTCCCCCTCTCTCTCCCTCTGCTTTCTTTCTCTTCACATCCCTCTCTGTCTTTCAAATAAATAAATACATAAACAAGTGGCTCTCAGTGCACTAGCATCCACCAGGTGCAAAAGGAAGCTGTTTGTCTTGAAGCCTTGCTGTTGTATTGAACCATTCCTGTGCTACAGCCCCCACCGCCACCTCTTCCCCACCCCAAAGTCACCAGCATGTGGTCCTTGCTATGAGAAGAGGGAGGGGCTCCTGGGACAGGTGGGGGAGCTCAGACCCAATCAGCAGCACCTGTGTCCTCACACAGGCTCAGTCCTCAAGGCTTTGCAGAGGGGGCCTGTATCAGTCCTCCCCCAATGGGAGGAAGTATGCAGAAGGGGAACTGCTGGGGTCCGAGGCCCAGCCAGGCACCTGTACCATTTGCAGGACAAGCCTCAGCTCAGGACTCTCAGAGGGTGCCCACGGAAGCCCATCCCTGGCAACTAGCCCAAACCCCCAACAACTCAACACTTCACTGAAACAAAAGTCGCAGTCAGGTTTCCCCTGGCACTGGGGTTTCAGAGACAAATTCCGGTAAGCAAGTGTATATTCCTTAGGGAGCGTTGTCAACAGGTGCATTGGTTGGGAACGCTCTTCTGGAGCGAAAAATGAAGCAAGGCTGAAGGGCAGCTGCACCTGAGGGTCTGACTGGTTAGGGAGACAGAGATGTCTACCCTCTGGGGCTTGTGCCCAGTGGCTCTTACTTGTCACCGGTTCCAAGGTTTGTGTGAGTGTGTAGGAACCAGGAAGCTTCCGCTGGCTTCACCCCAAAACAGGCTTCCATGATCTGAGTGGCACTAGAATCTTTTGCCTGCGAGAAGTGCAGGGTGAAGGCTTGTTCTCCGCTGAGGCTGGTGGACTTCCTGGCGGCAGCCGGCCAGCATCCGTTCTTGGCTCCTGAATTGTAAGGACTTGGCACTGACCGATGACACGGACCTGCCAGGTTGCTCTGTGCAGTTAGAGGATTTCTCAGTGCTCAGTGGGTTCCTGGAACCTCTCTGTTTGACTATCCTTTTATAATCCCTTTAGGAAGGCCAGAGAAGTCCATGCGCTGGGGTGGGGCATAGAGGTGAGGAGGGGATGGTCCGTGGTAGACTTGTGGGGCCCTTCCCTTGCATAGAAGTGGTGAGGCTCTTAGAATGCGTTCATTCTAACTCAACCTCAAGCTGAGTGCTTTCCAGAAGCCTTCAACTTTGGACTCGTGCTGACACTGATTGCCAGGGTTTTCTGCAGGGCAATGGTTCCCTGTGCACACCGCATGGGCTCAGCAGGCTGAGCACCCAGCTGGGTGGGTTTCTCTCACAAAAATTTTTTGAAAGCAGAGCTGCCAAAGCTTTACTCTCCCGTGGTTTGCAGCCCTCAGCCCAGCAGTCATGCTTTAAGTATCCCGTACACCTGTTCCCTTATCTGTGGACCATGGATAGCTGGCCTCCCTATCTGACAGTGATTGCTGGGATCAGAGAAGATTGAGTGTCACCGGTGTTCGTTAAGACTGTGAACAGTAGATAAGATCTTCAGACAGCTACCGCCCTGTCTCGTTTAGTCCCTCCTTCTTCCTTCCATCCTCACTCCATCCTCTGCCCCATCAAGTTCTTGAGTACTTGAGGGATTTACAAAAATGCACAGAAAATGGATTATAGAATGTCTATTTTGTTTTTTTAATGATTGATTTATTTTTATTGGAAAGGCACATTTACAGAGAGGAGAGACAAAGATCTTTTGTCCACTGGTTCACTCCCCAAATGGTTGCAGTGGCAGAGCTGAGCTGATCTGAAGCTAGGAGTCAGGAGCCTTCTCCGGGTCTCCCATGTGGGCACCGGATCCCAAAACTTTGAGCCGTCCTCAATTGCTTTCCCAGGCCACAAGTAGGGAGCTGGATGGAAGTGGAGCAGCCAGGACATGAACTGGCACTCATATGGGATCCTGGTGCTTGCAAGGGGAGGATTAGTCAATTGAACCATCATGTGGGCTTAGAATGTTTATTTTATGCAAAAAGATCGAAGTCCATGCATAGCTTTCTTTTTAAATAATTTGCATGTCCCCTGAACTTTTTAAACAAAAGTGAGAGGCAGAGATGTATAGACCCAAGCAGAACAAGCTCTCCTTTCCTGGATTCTTCCCCCAAATGTCTGTAATGATTGTTGTGGAGGAGGAGGAAGGCAGGAGACAGGAACCCAAATCCAGCCTCCCACGTGGATGGCAGGGACCAATCATGTGGTTCAGCAGCACTGCCTCCCAGGGTATGTGTGAGCTCCAGAGCCAGGGTCCACTGCTGGAGCCAGGAGCTGACCCGGGCACCTGGATGTGGAACGTGGCAACCCTGGCAGTGTCTTCAGCACTAGGTCCAGGCCGCACTCCTCCGTGAACTTCTCCAAGATCTCTCATGTATACACGTTCATCTTCAGCACCAAAACCAACTTAGCTTTCCATTGCATTTCACGAAGGCCCTTTGTTCCCACAGGGCCCTGAGATCCTTGTCTGGGCCTCTTTGCCAATGAAGTAGCAATCACAAATCTTAAATGGTGATGCCTCCTTCCTCACGCCTGCAGGAGGACTACTGGGGCTCCATCCCGAACAGATACACATGTAGGCCTGACAGAGACCTTCAGTCACCAGCCCCCCCGCCATCCTCCCAGTGCTGGAACCTTCTTAGTGCAGTGCCATCCGCTGCAGGGCTGTGGGAGCCTTGAGTGGCCTCTACAGGTGGCAACCCTTAAGGCCCCCACACAGGACAGCATTGATTATAACCTGCTGTCACTTAGAAGATCTGGGGCCTCTTCTGCCAGCCTCCCTCCCTGCTCCTCTGTCACCGGCAGGCTCCAGGGCCAGACTGCTCCCAAAGACTCGTCCTGGAGCCAAACCTGTGGTTTGAAATATCCTTTATTTTGTAAACATCTGTGTTTAAAATAGATGAACCCTGCTCACAACTCCTATAAGGGGCCCAAGACATGGCACGCAAAGTTCACCCATTCCAGGGAAGATGGTAGGGGCTCGGGAGCAGGTGGCGTGCCTGGGGGGCTGGCTGAACTCTCAAGACAGCAGGTGCAGAGGTGATGGCGAAGATGCAGTCCAGGAGCCTGCTCACCAGTCTGGGCCCAGACCCCGCTCCTGGACTGGAGATTGGGGTGACACAAGGCCCACTCCCATGCCTAATAAGAACAGCTGCATCCCCCGAATGCCAACCGTCTGGTTACCAGCGGCAGCCCTCATGGAGAGGGCTCATGTGTCCACAGCATCCCTACCCAATGTTTTCATTTCCAAGAACCCTGAGGGTACAGAAAAATACAGTCCCTCTTCTTGGAGGAGGCAGAAGTTAGGAGAGAAAGACAACAGGCTCTGCCCCATCTCTGGGGAAAGCCTGCATTCCGCCCCACCCTCATCGCCCGGAGTGAGCCACACCCTTTCTGCTGCCTCCCTCAAGGAAAGGCCACGTGAGGGCAGGGTGGCATCACCCCCTGTGACACAGCAGAGGCCTGGGTACCCGGTCAGCCAGTCCTCATGGAGCGACCCCAGCTGCATGGTGCACAGCTCATTCTCCAACTCTCTCACCAGCTGCTCCTGGCCCTCTGCAATGCTTCCCTGCCCATGCCTTCTCCTGCTGCCTGTCTCCTAGCTTGACAAAGTCAGGAGGAAAGGCTGGCAAAGTGACCCCTGCCCCCTTTTCTGGAGGAGTCCCGGAGGAGGTGCCTCTCTTGCACACGTGTGTGTTCTGGGGTGTGGGTCCTTGGCTGGAGGTTGCTCTGAGCCCCAGGTGTTGTACTTGGCACCTGCCTTCATCCTTCTGCATCCTCTCACCCCTTGCTCCTTGCACCCTGGGATGGGAAAGAAGGGGCTTCTTCCAGCTACTCTCAGGTCCTGGGGGGTTTAAGAAGCTTCCAGAACATCAGACTCTGGGAGAGGAGTCCTCTTCTCTCCTTCCCCATCACTGGTAGCCACAGCCCAGTGGGCCAGCACTCAGCGAGCGGAAGAGGTGGGCACTTGGCCTTGAAGGCTAACATCACAGCACCAAGCACTTCTGCTCTGAGTGGCTCTCTCTCTCTTTCCAGAAAGTCTTTCCCTCTTCCCAGGAAAACCTTAAAACTGGGAGACTGGAATCGGTGAGAGAAGACTGGTTTGACTACATGACCTCTAACCTCTGCCAGGGAGGAAAGTCCACAGAGGGCTCTCCTAACCTGAGGAAGAGAATGATGGGGCTGGATGCCCTGTGGCCTTGCGAAAGACCCACTGTGGCCCACTCCGCCCCGCCCTTGTCACCTAGGAGCTGGTCCTCCGTTCACAGCGCACAGCTACCTGACAGTCTCCTGGGCCCAGGCCTCTCCTCATTCCTGCAGTCCCCTCGGGCTTTGGTCCATATCTATAAATTCTGGGCAGGGTTGGGGAGGAGCTATATACCTGCCACACGGGAGGTAGAGAATGGAGGTGACCCCTCGGCACCCCTCGCCATTGTGTCCTCTGAAGCACCTGCCTCCAAGCACAGTCCACGTACAGGGAGGCAGGCAGGCAGCCGAGCAAGGCGGAGCTCAGGTTGGGGAGCAGGTGGAGGTAGGATGGACGGACCCCCGGGCTTGAGGCCCAGCAGGTGGCATGTCCTCCTGATGTTGCTCCTTCTCCCCATGGCACAGCAGGGGAAGTGGGGAGGAGAGGAGGAAGAGATACCCTGAAACCTTCAGCTCCCCACAACCCTCAAAGCTAGGGGCTCACTCCAGAGCAGAGTGGTGGGTCACCTCCCAGAGCCTACGTCCATTCCCTTGGATAGGGCTAAAATGGGGTGCTGCAGCTGCAGTCACCCACAGCAGGACATGTTGTGGGGAGGGGCCTTGACCCAGAACACACAGGAGGAAAGGGGCCACAGCAAGAGGGGGGCCAGAGAGAGGGAGCAGGGAGCAGACGTGGAGGCGCTTTAAAGCAGCCCTGACCGCACCTTGGGCCCAGCCTGGGGTACTGGGGGCAATGAGATGCCCAGAGCACGAGGTCAGGTCAGAGCAGGCCTGAGGCCAGCTGGGGACGAAGTGCCGCCCATCAGGGCCAGGCAGGGGAGGAGCAGCTACTGATGCTCAACAGGGTCATCGAATGAGAGGCCGGCAGCGGGTCAGGGCCTGGCCTCCCTGGCTGCCCATAGACCTCCTGAGGGAACGGGGTGTGTGGTGTGGGGCGGCCCCAGGCATGACCCTCAGCACCAGCAGGTTTTAGAAGAGTTCGCTGAGCCATCGGGCTTGCCCTCCTCCTCCTCCGGCTCCATCAAGGCCAGTTCGTGGCTGGCCCGCGTCCGCAGCCCATCCAGCTCCTTCCTGTGCGCCTGCAGCACCAGCTCGGTCAGCCGCGTGAAGGACTGCGTGACAGAGGGTCATGGGGTTAGCCCAGTCTCTTCTGCCGACCCCTCCTGGCTGTGCCATGTCTGACCCATTAGCTCTCCCCAGCCACTTCCTCCTCACCCCACCCCTGACCTGGAGTACCACGCTGAACAAGGCCATGGCCAGCTGGCCCCCCTGACGCTCACCTCTTTAATGTTGAGGTTGGTGCAGGCACTTGTTTCATAGAAGTCCATGCCATACTCCCGTGCCAGCTGCAAGAGAGAGGGATGGTTCTGAGAAGGAGGGAGGGGTCAGGCGCCAACACACCCTCTGGCCACCACAAACAGGACATCACACAGCAGGGGGACAAAGGTACCTAGCCTTGGGGACAACGTGGCAGCTGATGAATGCTATGCAGCCTGGTAAACCCAACCTGGGGGCCCAGGCTGCTGCTCTGTGTGGACCAGCTTGGGCAAGCTGTGGCTCGCTTCTGTGAATGGGGAAGGTGGGAGGATGTCTGTGCCCCCAGGTTGTGGCTTGGCTCCTTCCTGCAGGCTGTTCTCCCATCAGGGTAGGCCTCTGCATCCATGCTTTTCTGGGACCACCTGTCTTCTTTGACAGCGGACAGGTCAGTAGGACTTCAAGTGCCAATGGGCTGCTATTGACCCAAGAGGGACAGAGCAAGTCCAGAGCCCTCGGAGGTGCAGTGTGGGGTATCCTGTTTTCTGCCTGGTCCCCGGGGGAACAGGAGCTTCCTGTGCTCTTGGGCTTGCTCTCAGCAACCCCCTTCCCTCCACCGCCCCTCACCCACACAGCCCTTCTGGGAGGTGAGGGGTAGTATGTAGTGGGGTCTGGTCGCTCTGCTTGGGCGCCCTTAAGTAAATGGAGTTGGCACCTCAAGTCCCCCCTCCTCTTCCACGGTGTTTGTTTTCCACGGAGCTGGAGTCGCTGTCCTGCGGGGCACCCAGCTCCCTCTCAGAGACACAGCACACCTGTAGGTGCCATGAGCCCTGGCCCCAGTGGGCTCCTGGGTCCCCAGTTCTCAGGGCCAGCACAGACGTGTCCCGGAAGATGCCAGATGGGCTCTGCTTACCTGCTGCCCCTGCTCTCGGCCCACCTGCCGTTTCTGCTCTTCGTCTGCCTTATTCCCGATCAGGATCTTCTGGACACCTTCCGGGGCGTACTGGGGACAGGGCAGAAAGAACTCAGCTGCAGTAAGGGCAACCCTCACACTGATCCATAGCCCGGGGACAGCATGGGCTGCTGGGATCCAGGTGCTGGGCTCTTCTGGGTACAATGCTCCTTGCTAGTGGCTCCATTTTTATGAACTTATTTACTTATTTTTAATTGCAGTTATACAGCATCTATTATAATTGAAATTAAAAGGAAACAGCCAAAAAAAGGGAAAGGAAGGGGCTGGTGTTGTGACATAGCAAGTTAATCCTCCACCTGCTGTGCCAGTGACCCATATGGGTGCCGGTTCAAGTCCCAACTGCTCCATTTCTAATCCAGCTTTCTGAAAATGTGCCTGAAAAGCAACCCAAGATGGCACAAGTCCTTGGGACCCTTCACCCACGTGGGAGACCCAGAAGCTCCTGGCTCTTAGCTTTGGACTGGCCTAGCTCTGGTTGTTGCAGTCATCTGGGGAGTGAACTAGCAAATGGAAGATTCTCTCCGTCTCTCTCTTTCTCTGTCCCTCTTTTCTGAGGTTCTGCCTTTTAAGTAAAAAATAAATGTATCTTTTAAAAATAAAAAAATTAATTAGAAAAAATTTCAGAAATAAACCATTCATAAAGTTTATATAACTTCTTTTTAAAAAAATGGATTCATTTATTTTTATTGCAAAGTCAGATATATATAGAGAGAGGAGGAGAGACAGAGAGGAAGATCTTCCATCCGATGATTCACTCCCCAAGTGACCACAACAGCCAATCTGAAGCCAGGAGCTCAGCCAGTCTGAAGCCAGGAGCCAGGAGCTCCTCAACTGCTCTCCCAGGCCACAGGCAGGGAGCTGGATGGGAAGCAGGGCTGCTGGGATTAGAACTGGCGCCCATATGGGATCCCGGTGCATTCAAGATGAGGACTTTAGCCACTAGGCCACCACGCCGGGCCTCAGTCTGTGTAACTTCTGTTACAGTATATTGTCATGTCCCTTCTGTTTTGTATTTTTTATTGTTGTTCATCCTTCACTGTAAACTTCATCACAGGTGTGGAGAATGTGTAGGAAAAACACAGGACACACACATAATGCATACATATACATACAGGGTTCAGAATCATCGTTGGGTGCATGAATGAGACCCAGACAAGGGGTTTCTACTGAACCATGACCACACCCAGGAGTGTCACAGGGGAAGCTTAGCAGAGGGGACACTGGCTAACAGTGGTGCCTCCTTGGGGTGGACAGCTGGACCCTGAGCTGGAAAGACCCTGGACTTATGCCCAGCCGTCACTCTACAGCTAAGAAGGCGAGGACCACACCCGTGACTCCCAGCTGATGTGCCAAGCAGCCTGTCCTCCCACACACACACACACACCCTTACAGCAAGCTCGGAAAGTCCCAGCCGTGGTGCCTGGTGCAGTGGTGCCCTCAGGGTCTTTCTCCAGGGCTGCAGATGGTAAGGCCTCCTGGTAGAACCCTCTCCCCAACCCATCCCACACGCCCTCATTCTGTCCTCGCCCCATCCCTGCCTGGAAGCGGCTCCTCCTACCTCGTCCACATCGCTGACCCATTTCATGATGTGTTGGTAAGACCGCTCGCTGCTGATGTCATAGACCAAAAATATACCCTGAGAGAGAGAGAGAGAGAGAAAGAGAGAGAGAGTAAGTGCTGGGGAGATGGACAGAACTGGAGGGTCTCAGGGCTGATACACCTGCTTTCTCCCTGCTTAGTCAAAGGAGGACCTCAGCATCCGGAAGCTTCCTCGTCCCTCAGGCTCCCTCAGTGGATCTCCCAGGCCCACAGCTGAGGTTGATCAGATATTTGGCCCCCAGTAGCAGTGAGAAGTTGGGGTGCGGGTAGGGAGACAGTACAGGGTCTGCCTATATCAAGTGGTCTATGAATAACTAAGGAAGGGACCATCCGTGAGAAACTGCCTTGAGGGTTCCTCTTCACGGCAAGCAGTTTTGGGGGTTGGTGACAGCTCCCCGCCTCTGTACCCCTATGCTCACCTGGGCCCTTCTGTAGTACTGCTTGGTGATGGTCTGGTATCTCTCCTGCCCCGCTGTGTCCCTGCAAGAGAAAGCCAGTCTGTCAGGGGAGCAGGGACCACAGATGGCCGCAGGCAGGGATGAGTAAAACAGTTGCAGGACAAACTGGGGAGAGGCAGAAGAGAGCTCCCTGGTGCCCTTGACCCCCTATAGGGTGCAAACACACCTGACTTTGTAAGGAGAGACCTGGCCATGAGCACTCCACACAGGACCAATACCTACCTCTAACCCAAACACCCAGCATGCTCCAAAATGCAAAGTGTCCCAGGCACCAACAAGATGCCATGAATGGAAAATTCCACACTGTGAAACTCGGCTTCATGCACAAAGTCATTTAGCATTCCTTTCAGGCCACGTGGATACAATGTATATGACACAACACAGATGAATCCCCTTTACACTGGGGTCTCCTCCTCAAGTTATCTAAGGCTTTGAAACACGTTTGTAGAATTAAATATTCCATGATCCCACCAAATCCCTAACCCACAACTTTTCTCAATGAAAGATAATCAGGTTGCGTCTGCTGCTTAGGGACCACGGCATAACTGAGCCCGTAACAGCTCTCTGGAGTGTGGCCGTGGGGGCCCTGCTGTGGTCAGATGGGAAGGTGCGGCTTGGCTCCTGTTCCTGTGGGACACAGTGCAACGTCCTCCCTGGGATTCTAGGG